ATGAAAGTGTAGGTTGACGGAGTATTAGGGCCATACTAAGAGAAAAAAATACATTTGTTTTTTTGGGAATTACGAGAATAAAGTCATAATATTAGGTCTACGAGAATAAAGTCGTAATATTATGAGAACAAAGTCATAATATTAGGTCTACGGGAATAAAGTCGTAACATTACGAGAAAAAGTCGTATTATTATGCGAACAAAGTCATAATATCAGGTCTACGGGAATAAAGTCGTAACATTAGGAGAATAAAGTCGTAACGTTACGAGAATAAAGTTGTAATATTGCGAGAATAAAGTCATAATATTACGAGAATAAATCGTAACATTACGAGAATAAAGTCATAATATTAAGAGAATAAAGTAGTAATTTTATGAGAACTGTCCTGTTGGCTCAGCCAGCAAAACTGTTTAACGATGAAATGATCAATACGTTAGCTTACCTGTTGACTGTATGGACTGAGACAAACAGCGGCTGCTGGGCTCAGGCTGAGGCTACTGTTTGGTTGAGCTGCTCACGTCAGATCTTGATAACTCTATCAAAGCTTTTTTCTCATTAAAATTTTTCTTGTATTATTATTACATTATTCTCGTATTATTACGACTTTATTCTCGTAACATTACGACTTTATTCTCGTAATATTATGACTTTATTCTCTTCTTAATTTAAAATGGGTTTTTTTCTTAGTCTGGCCCTAATACTGCGTTGTAGAGAGGGAACTTTCAGTTTGATTGATTTTTAATTTGTTCCAAAAGTAAAATTCCCAGCCCTCACACGCTCTTCTGAACCTCCAGGACAGACTTATGTGCTCTTGTTCGGATGAAATAGTGTAATTCTGATGTGAAATAGTTGTCACATCTACGGCGCGGTTCCCAGGATATCTCTTTCCCAGCAACCATCACACACTGGATCCCACTCACCTGCTCATGTACATCATGAAGTACAGACAGTTCAGACTGCAGTCACATGGCAACTGATCACATATGTGTTGAATTGTTCTGTGGGGATTCTTTTTACTCAGCACTATAAAAAAATCGATGGAAGCCCATTTCCACCAATGTGATGGGAAAAAAGGATTCTGTTAGTCATTATAATGAGAAAGTTTCTCAAAATATTGACTAAGTATCTCAAAATAATGCCTTTGAGATACTAAGTCACACAGGAGGAAAAAAAATGCTCTGAGACATGTGCATAGCACACACAGACATTATATTGTGGACATAACTGAAGATAGGCACCTACAGAGATGGGCGGCTAACCCTCTCCTTTCCTCAGATGTGTGTTTAGTCTCTAAGGCAGCAACTTTAATTGGAAACATTACTCCAGCATGGTCATAAACATCTGACCAGTGTTTTATAATTAATTAAAAAATAGAAATAAGGTCCAACTTTTCGCTCTTTTGAGAGACACAAAAGCTGATTTTAATTAAAGTTTTCCTTTTAAATTTTTTTTTGCTTGCACTACACATTTTGTTTAGTACAATCATATCAGTACCATTCACCTGTTCTATTCCTTTGCTGGTATCCATTTTTCATTAGCTCTGAATACAGTGATCTTCTAAATGACAAACTATGGGGGCACCCCAGTAGGGTAGAGGGTCTTTACTGCAGCGGCCCACCTTCAAGTGCTCCTCAAGGCCCTTTGCTGCGTGTCACTCCTTCTCTCCCCTGCTTTTCCTGTGTTTCTCTATTGTTCCCTCAATAAACTGTGGTCATGGTTTTTCCTCTGGGACCGGGGTCAGCTAATTTTATTATCTCTGTTACCCCCAAAAAATCTGTCTGGAGCGACAAAACATATTTGAGCCTTGCTTATTTCTCAGCGCAAATTAAGCATAGCAGACAGCGAGCAGCATTGGTGGTGAAATAAAAGAAACTGGTTCATGCACTATTACATTTGTAACTACACATTTTTACAATTGGAGAATGTAAGAATCATTTTAGGCCTATTGTCATGGCCCTGCTCCTCTCCTGCTCCCTTTGCTCCTCCTCCTTCCCTGTGTGTGTCTGAGGGTGCGGTCTTCAATCACCTCACCTGTGCTCTGCCTCACCTGCTCCCTATCCCCTCGTTAGTCTCAGCCCTCAAGTTCCCTGGTGTCCTTTTGCTTGGTACCAGATTGTTGTTCAGCAGACTTGGTGGTACACTCTTGGCTCCACTCAGTGAGTTGCTGGCTCCTTAGTGTTTCTCCCTGTTCCTGCCCTCCTGTCTGATCCCTGTATCTCCAGAGTTCTAGGGATTCCACCTCTTCAGAGTGTTTAGAGATCCTATCTCTCCGGAGTCTCAGGGATCCAACCTCTCCAGAGTCCCTGGGATCCTTCCCGTGTAGACCAGGTTCTAGGGTCAGCTCTCCAATGCCTCCGGATCTTCGTACCCCGTGTGTGTGTGTGTGTGTGTGTGTGTGACACACCTATGACAATGATAAAAGTAACTGTTATTCATTGTCATATAATTTTTTTTTTTGTCAAAGCCAAAGGGAGTCACTTGTAGTGATGGGAACTGTGGCCCTATACAGTGAGCCAAATCATATGGCTCAGCTCAAGAATAAGAGCCGGCTCTTGCGGCTGCCAAACGGCTCTGCATTTAGCACTTCTGGCTTTTATAACTCACCTGTTTGTCAATGTTTTGAGCTCTGCTTGGTATGTGTGCTCACATATACCTTTCTGTAAATTATTCAATGTAATTCCACAATTTTACATTGTGCTTGGTATAAATACCTTAAATAATGTTAAAGCATAAAGTACTATTACGCCTGATTGAGTGTTTTATTGGTATTGAAAGGTGCAACAGACAAAAGTCTCAGCATGTTTTGATCTTAATGTCATCACCAAAGTGAGACATTTCTGCATTATGTTTGACAAATACGCTGTAAAATAATCTGGTTATTCTGTCTTGTATTGACTATCAAACAATATAAAATTTTTTTTTTTTTTTTTTTTTTTAAAAAAGAAAAAAAAAGCAAATCTGCTCCCACTGGTCACTTAAAGCAGTGGTTCCCAACCATTAGGGGTCACCAAAAATTTTAATTAAATCATGCACACATTTAAACAAGTCATGTCCTTATGTCTCTCTTTGAACATTCAATAACCTACCGGCCTGCTATAAATGTCAGAAACAGAAAGTTGTATTACTCTTGAGGAAAAGGCAGAGCGGTGTTACGGCACAGCCTACAGTGAGACAGGATAAGAACATCTGTGTCTTCTGCAACCGATGTGACATATTGTGTTAAGTAACACATGCAGCTCATTTATTAACGGAGCTCAGCTCAGAAATTACAAAAATAACTAATAAGAAAAAGAGTGATTTCCATATCTTGCCATGCCCAACGTCAAGAAGAACATGTAATAGTATATAAATATATCTGTTGAAGCTGTTGTATTTTACAGAAATGTGAGGTGAGGAAGTTTTCTTCCTTCCCCTTTGACTGAGTGCACATCTGAAGTCCCACAGCAGCTTCTTCCAGTCGTCACTTGGGAACTGTTTTTACAGCCAAAAGTAACAGCGCAGACAGGCGATGGTCGTCATACTGTATACTCTTTGCACCTGTAGATGAACGATGGTTCAGCATCAGTTAGAGCTGAGTGTGGTTCAAAGTGTCTCATACCTATAAGATAATTACTTCCATACTTTGCGTATTAACATGGTTTTCTATAAAAACTTATGAGCCAAACTTCTTGAATCAGAGCAACCTTAAAAATACTATTGTGTATATGCAGTAACAAATTAAAAAAATAATGATCAAAGTTGGGCAATATATAATCAAATAATAAATAACATCTGAGATGCAGACGGCACAGTAATTACCAGCTTTCAGTGATTAATAGTTTTCAATATATCAATAACTACAAACACTATTGTGTCTGTTCGGGAACATTACTGAGGTCCAATTCCAAGCGCAAGCGTTTTCCTCAAGAGCACTGCATCTGTTTTAACCACAGTTTTTTTCTGGCACATTCCTCACAACAAACAATCCTGCTTTCATTATACCTTCAAAAGCATGACTCATACCAAGTGTTATTAGAAGATTAAAAAGTAATGAAAAATCTGAAGAATGCTCAGCTCAATTACATTTAATCCACGACTGACTCTGGCATTTTCCCAGGTGTCTTAACATGTTATTTGTTTTAAGATGGTCCTCAGAGAATATCACGAACAACCACAAAGAATAGTAAAACATTTTTAATTCACATAATGATTTCATTCATCATCGTTACTCGAACATTTCTGTTGTGTCAATACAACCACTTGTGGACAAAGCGGGTACTCAAGAGTTTGTGTGTAACATTCTTGAATCGGTTTTGTTGGCAACAGACCCAGAATGATCACGAACAGAAACTGAGAATGCACTGCCTCATATTTGTTCCTATCCTCTGCCATGTTGAAAATAACTATTGAATGATTCTGCAAAGTCATGGATTATGTTACTGTGACCATTGCCATCTGCTCATGGCAACCACGGTATGGCTATGGTTGTGGTTATGGCAATTAGGTTAGGTTAGGCAACTAAACACTTGGTTAAGGTTAGGGAAAGATTGCGGGTACGCTTAAAAACTAAACATGATGGAGTGTGACCGAACCCAAACTCTGGTCCCCACAATTCAGATGTGCTACATGCTCATTTTTAATTTGATTTATATATAGTTAAATGTTATATATATGAGATTTAAAACATTAGCAGCAAAGAGCTATTTGCTGTAGTGGAGTCGTAGCGTCCTGAGCAGAGAATAATGTCCCACTCACTCACTGCAAGGTAAAATTACTGTTTTTGTCTATGGAGTCTGGTGGCGAGTGATAGCAATACTACAGCTGTTTCTGGTTAAACTAAAGGTCTATCTCTGTAGGGATCCTTTCCATAATGTTGTCAGACACCAACAATCTCAACCTGTCAGGAAAAAAAACAGGCAGTTTTAGTGGACAGACTTTGAAGGACACATTTGTCCCCAATGATTAACATTAGCTTACAATGTAGCCATTGTAGCGCTCTCACAAATATTTTCACATCTGAATCAGTGAATTAATAGTTTATTTCAACAAAGCCAGTGTTGGTGATTGTTAGAAAGACACCCAAAAGATTAACAAAGACAGTTTTTGTGAGTTTTATTTCTGTCCCTTTGTTTTGGTCTGAGATTCTGGTCCTCTTGCATCCAGTGTCAAGTGAATTTTGTACATATAAACATGAACTATTGGATTGTAAGAGTATGCAAACTCTGCTTCAGTCTTCTGCAGTAAAGTTGGATGAGCTACACACCCGTAGACTTGACGTCCTGTACTTGTACTGAACAAAGCCTGCAGAATCGTCCAATATGAGGGTAATTCCTTGGGACACAGGGCAGCTTGGAGACTTTGTGTAGTGGTACAAATCAAGCCCTTTGTATATGTGGCCTTCCTACGCTTTATATGCATACTATACTGTATTTAAGTTAACTTGGCTGGGAGGCATCAACCTATACAATGCATGCATAAAGTGTAGTTTAAATAGTTAATCTTTGCATAGTGTAGACACATTAAGTCCATAAGCAGATACAATATATGAACTTTAGATCATTAGTGTCATCCTGCATATCTATGTATTTCAATGACTGAAATGCACCCTGTGCAATGCTGTAGACACGGTGTGCTAACACTCTGGCTTTAATCAGGACAAATAGGCTACAACTAGCCCAATTCATTGTCTTCTGTATGAATGTAAAAGGAGCCTCTGATAACTAACTAAATATGACAGGGTCTGGCAGTGGTAGAGGAGTATTCAGATTCTTTACTTAAGTAAAAGTACTAATACCACACTGTAAAAAATACTCACTAGTCAAAGTTGAAAATGTGACTTAAGTAAAATGATGTGAGTATAATCAGGAAAATGTACTTAAAGTACAAAAAGTAGAAAAATGTCCCCTGTGACTGATACACTATTATTATACTGTTATACTCATCATTAGATTATTATGACTCATGCATTAATGTAAAAGTAGGATTTTACTGTAGTTGTTTGAGGTGGAGCTCATTTTGAACTATTTGGATATGATGATTATTTTCATTGTGGATTAATCTGATGATCATTTTCTCTATTAATCCAATAATTAATTAATCCATTGGTTACAAGTTTGTCAAAATTCTGAAATACCATCACAATTACCCAGAACCCAAAAGTGACACCTTCATAATGCTTTTTTTGTCCAACCAACAGTCCAAACCTCCAAATTGTTAAAAATAAATACAATTTACAAGTAAAAGCAGCAAATCCTCACACTGGTGAAGCTGAAGTGATTATACATGAAAATGACAACAATCATTAAAGGTCCAGTGTGTAACATATAGGAAGATCTATTGTCAGAAATGCAATATAATATTCATAGGTATGTTTTCATTAGTGTATAATCACCTGAATATACGAATCGTGTTTTACTGCTTTCAGTGGTGGCCGCCATGTTTCTACAGTAGCCTAGAATGGACAAACTGGCTCTACATAGGGCCATTTGTGTTTTTTGCACCACCATAGTTTCTGGAAATGGAGGGTGAGGCGAAGGCATTGTAATCTGCGACTACACCACTAGATGCCACTAAATCCTACACACTGGACCTTTTAATAATATTACTTGTCGATTGATTTTCAATTGTCAATCGACTAATCGCTTCAGCTGTATATTGTATTGGGTAGTTTAAATTATTACAAAGGATCATATTTTATAAGCTCTTCATATCTTTTGTATGTATAAACTAGCAAGTAAAGCAGTCAGATAAATATAGTCAAATAAAAAGTACAATATTTCCCTATGAGATGTCATTAAGTAGAAGTAGAAAGTAGCTTGAAAATACTCAGTAAAGTACAAGTATCAGAAATTCTTCCAGTCACATTACATGGGTAACAATTTCATTTTAAATATGCTTAAATAAAGCCAGGTGGGGCTCAGAGTATTTTACCTGTAAAGCAAGGAATCCATGTCTTGCTTTTGTCAGACTAAAGCTGAATAATGGGTGGCCTTATTCTGGGGAAACCCAGACAAGATAGGCCCAACTTACTTCACAAGGGAACAACCTATTAACCAAAATAATATATTTGATTTTTGTGTGAGATTAATTGTGAGATTTTAAAAGTACGCTGATGCAGACAGACAGGTTAAAAGCGGTCCCTGTGGAGACCATGTGTTCCGTTTCTTATTGTGACGTCTTTAACAGTATGGGTTGAGGTCTCTTCATCCACATCACACGGCATGGACATGTGTGAGCAACATGCTCTACCAAAATCTTTCATTGCTGACACACAACAGGCCATGTAAACCAGTCTCAGTTGTGATGGGAAAATGAAAAACTGTCCACACATGCCCAGCAGGCACAGGCAGGGTCACGCACTCCTTCAGCCTCCCTGCTGGTACCCCTCGCTTTCAGTTTTTGTGCAGGCAGCTACACGGTAATTCATCCATCAGTCCGATGACAAGGCACTGTGTACACTACAAACACGTGTCCATCTATAGAAACATAAATATACATGCTACTCTTCCATATAAGGGGATGCCTTATGTAAACGCATTTCCACCTTTCAGATCATGAGCATGTAACTGATTTGCTCATTTCATAGCGGGCCCGCTGCGCAGAGTAGGTGTCCTCTTGTCTATGTCGGATGTCGCTCTGTGTGGCCTCCGCTGCCTGGTGGGGGGAAAAAAACCACACAGATTGAATTAGGTGTTGCAATTTTAGCCATAATTCACAACGGGGTAAAAAACCAACAGCTTTTTCCTTCAATACATTTTTTCCTAAACTGGAGCAACTTCAAGTAAGCGTATTTATATTTAGGTCTACTAATGGCTAGGGTGAGTTTTATGCCTGAAAGTTAAAGGATTGATCAGATTTTTTTGTCTTTATGCAATACTCTCATGCCTTTTGTACAATGAAAGAGTCACTGTTGTAGGACTGCCCCCCGTCTCTTAGAGTCAGACTACTCAGGGAACACTTTAAGGCCAGTATGAACAGGACACATAATTGTGACTAGAGTTGTTCCTATACCAATACCAGAATCTGATATTCCTCTGGTACCGCCTAAATTATTATATTGGGTATTGGCGAGTACACACAAACCCCAAAGCGGGACCCTGCTACTTCCCAGCAGTGTTTCCAAAGATAGCGAAATATGTTTATATAATGTATATCTTCTTTAACAAGTATTGGATCAGCCAATATACAAAGTTCAGGTATCGGTATTAGGAAGGAAACTGCATAACCTTATGGCCGCCAGGGTACCCAGGTGGTTATAATGTTATGGCTGATCTGTGTATAATATGAATGGGGGACTCACCCCATTCCCCACCTATATTCAAATATTCTCAAAATGCCTACATGACAGCACAAACGGTGGTCATCGTTTAAGGGACACTCTTTGCTTGGCCATTCTCACTGCAGCTGATATTCCTTTTTTTCTCTAACATTAATTCGGGCATAGCTCAGACTAACATACATTTAAACATTTCTAGGACAACCAAGATTATTTCCAGGATATTTGGTAATTTTGATGAATTTCCAGGTGTTTCCATGACTGGAAAAATAGTCTCTTAATTTGTGCACTGATTTAGAGCAGTTTAATTTTTATGGACACCAGCAGGCCAGTTCCATATGTGTGTTTCCAGTAATATATGTGTGTATTAAAAGTGTTCCGCTATGGTCCTGTGGGCTAAAGACATGTTCACATTCTTATTATTTATGATTAATACTTCTGGAAATGTCCACTAAACATAGCATTTTGTGTGCGTGGTGCACTCACCTGTCCATGCAGAAGCTGTTGCAGTGAGAGTCACTCTGCAGTGTGCATGCACAGCGCTGGGCAGTCCCAGCAGAGCGCTTCATACGCAGAGACCCCTGGTAACTGGACATACCATATGGAACAGTGTGCCTAAGAAAAGATACACACATATACAGTGCACAGTGAGCAGACAGATCATTAGACTGACTTCACCTGTACAGCCTCGAGACAGGTTCTTTTTTGACACTGCATCAGAGAGAAACTGATCTCTCTATAGTGATTTCAGAAGCTGGTGTCAGCGACATTCTCATACTGGACTGCATTATACTGAAAGGTGTTTCTAATATATTGTACTCCATTTGAATACAAACTGTGGACAGAACATAAGAAACACCTTTCAGAATAATGCAGTCCAGTACAACACCACCACAGACTGCAACCTCTAAAATATTTAAAGCTGCAGACGTTAACTTTTATAAAAATAATTTTGACATATTTTCTGAAACTTTCACTATATCCTGACAGTAGAACATGAGATAGATAATCTGTGAAAAAATCAGGTTCCTCTGGCTCCTCCTAGTGCTCCTAATGACATTTGCGAGAATCCACCGGTCCTCAATGTAAACAACCAATCAAACAACCAATCAGAGCCAAGGAAGATGAAAACACGCTTGAGTTGGTGGCTCCAAAATAGTTATTGATATTTGGCAACCTGGGAATGAGACTCAATCCACACCACCCCAAAGTTGTGAAATACAGTGAAAGTTTGACTGCAGCTTTAACCCTCTCTGAAAATTGATGTTCGGTGTCATATATTATAGAACTGTCAGGTTGTATGGATTGTACTAAGGTGTACTTACTAAACTGGTAAATCAGTGTATTTTAAATTCATTACATTGGTATATCTAAAGATTCCCTTTCACAAGTTACTTTGGCAGATGGTGGGAAAAAGTAAAAGTTGTAACAGTTCAATGTCTTTAAATTATTCAAACCCAAATTTCATATTAGATGATACCACTGAGGGCCAGTCTCTTTCACAGTCCTACTGTAATTTAGTGTGATAACCTATAAGATTTGAACACAAACACAAAGTATGGAAGACTCTATTTGGTAATTTCAGTTTATTACTACTTGGGTGTTAGTTTCATATTTTTGGCCATCATTTTCATCTGTTATGATCACACTTATCAATTATTATGATAACATTCCCTGTGCTAACACAGCATCTGGGAACGCAGCCACATGGCCACATCGCACACAGAGTCAGACAGGTCGGAAACAGCCTGAAATGTAAACCACTAATCCACTTTCTTCAGAGGTAAAACTAAATGTAAGCACACCCAAAATGTTGGTAGTAATCCCTCATTGCACAGGGAAACTGTGTTTGCATCCTATCAGATTGGCTGACTGCTTGTGTCTCTTGCCCCGTTGGACACTGGTGTAGCAATGCTGCCACATTCCCACATTTACAACACTTTACTTGATGCCATCAGGCCAAAACCATGAAAATCAGTTGTAGATAAAAACTACAATTACCGCCCTGAGGTTCTATGCCTCTGCCGCCTGGTTAAGTTGCAGTTTACATCCATTCTGTCTCTGACGGAATGTAATAAAAAGTAGTAAAGCCCCATTATATAACCTTTCTACCTCATTCTGATGCTACACTGAGTTGTAACAGGGTGAATGGTGCTTCTGTCTTTCCCACTCTGCTCCCTGTATGCCTGTCCTCACAGGCGTACACCAAAGTGTGTAACACTTCACAGCAGTAGTCACACACCGCCAACTATATCAATGATTGAAACTGGATCATATTTTACGGAGAAAGTGTTTCCTGGTTTTCCCTCTGATGTCCTCCAGGCTGCTCCACCTCAACTCTCTGTGATTAACAGTTTCCTGATGGACAGAAAGCTGCTAAAGTAAGCTAGTGAGCTCAGTCTGTGCTGGGAGCTCAAAGCCCTGTGGAAGTGTTGGTATATGGTCAGTGTACTTAGTGACCAAAAGGATTTTGTTTTGAAATGAGAAAAACAAAATCAGGAAACAAGCTGTTTCCTGACTACCATTTATAAATATCAGGAACAAAACTGATTGTTTTTTCATATTCAAAATAAAACAGAAAATGGGTCATTTATTAGTTTTCTTTTATTTTCAAAACCAAAAAAAACAGCTGTTTTGGCTTGCTTTTGTTTTCTCCTTTCAAAACAAAAATCCAGGCCCCAAGTGCCGGGGAGCCAGTGAGGGAAGCTGACGCTTAGCGGCGCCAGTGTTGTGCCAGAACCGAAGCTGGGTGAGCGGGCAATGTAACCGGGATCAGCAGCCTCTGCCGATATGGCAGAGACAAAGAGACCCATTAGGACGTTGATGAAGGAAGCTAAGAAGAGAAAAGGAGAGAGAAGCCCTCGGACAAGAGTAAATCTATGACTGGCTTTTAGTCGTTGAGAGCTTGGTGCAATAAAAAACAGGCAGATGGTGAGCTGGCCTTCTTGCTGTTGGATTAGTCAGTGATATTAGCTGCTTGCTGTGTTGTGTGTTGCTGCACTTGCTTGATGTTTGGCTGTGTTAGCAGAGTTATCAACTGGCAGGTTTTGATCATAAGAAATTGAATCAGAACAAATGTACAGCTGTCCATATTTACCACAGTGGGTTTGCAACCAGGGGCACCAAATCGCAACAAATACCAAATTGTAATGGAAGTTATTATTGTATCGACGTGTGATTCCAGGAAATCACTTCCAGTGACAAACATGCTGTCTTCACTGAAACTATTTTTAAGAGAGCTTCGTCACATGGTGCACCGGAGGCTCAATTTCAGCAAAACTAATGAACTTGTTGGACTACCAGAGGAACGAGAGGCCCCCTGTCCTGGTTGTCATCCAGGGATTGGAGATGAAGAGGGTCCAGATCAATTAAAATCAGTCTGCAGGAGCCGGCACATGTTCTTTGTGGTGGTGTGCTGGGAGTATCCAACCAGATGTAAAATATGGTCACTTTCTCCCCTCCCGTTCCTGTAGAATTACTGGCAGAACATTTTTTTTTCAGAACATTATCATGTCACAGTGAAGCTGACCTTTGACCCTTTGGACCTAAAATGTCACCACTTCATCATTTTATTATCATTTTAGAGTAGAGTAAGTAAAACTGTTCTCTCACCAAGCATGGGAAATCAAAACATGTAAAATCCACAAAAACTCCAGAGGAGTAAAGTAAAAAGGTCAACTTACTGTAACAGCTGCAGGTACTTTAGAAGCTGTCCCTTAAGAAGCATAAAACCTCAGGTAATTAATTTTAGTCTCACCAAATATTTTCGCCCTTTCTCCCACGTGAACCGTCAATCACTACACGCAGCTTCACCTTAAAATATCGGCTGTCAAACAGACGTCATTGATATATTTGAAAATAAATCCTAAACCATGATCTCAAAGGATGACTACAAGCCATATGGTTAGAAAAACTGCTCAGCTCAAGTATGTAAGTAAAATATGGAGCTATGGAATTATAGCTCAGACCAAGCTGAGAATTCTAACAGGTTAAAAGGTGAACAGGTGCAGATCATGTGGGCAGCAGCTGTACTGCTAACAATGAGATCTTCAGCTTTTCAGACAGTGAAGTGGAATAAAGCACTAACTTGTTTTCATGCTAAGACTAAATAGGAGCTTGACCCACTAGCGATCAATACATCTATTAGGCGTATTCACACACGCTGCTACCCTGAGCTTTTTTCACACAATCCCCGGATTAGCTGTATGTGAGACCGCAAATGTCCAGATCATTTGAACCGGACATTAAATGAACCTCTCCGTGCCAACTCCATAGTACAACGTCTCTATATGTGCACAGAGCCGGCCATCGACTGTAGCTGCATCGTATACGCTTTCTTGCTTGCCTGTATATTGCTTTTTATTGTTTTGTTAATAATGCGGATACATCCAAATACATGAACTGTATATATATCACTGCATCAATACGGATGAGTCCTCCTCCAGCGCGCTCTATCCAGACGCCAACCATCACCTAAACTAGTGGATTAAACAAGCTTCTTCCTTAAAGTTTTCTATCTAGTGACTATCGATTTCATATTCTATTCAGTGCATAATAATAACTGACACTAAACTGCACAATGAACCCAACCAGTGAACACAACACCTACAGGAAGTTTGTGGAAAAGGAGCAATTAGGATTCATCCTGAGCATATTATGTCCTGTGAATCAGAGATGAGTTTTCCTGATATTTTTAGGAACTTTTTTACAATTCTATCTCTATTATGTATTTTTTAACAATTATACATTCACATTGAAAAAGCTTTTTTGACATATTCAGTGTTTTCTTCTCATTGTTTAAACTCTTCTTAAGTAGGATAAGACTGTTTATCAGAGTGATGGCTCTGTGAATGTAGCTTGTGTTCAGGTCTTCAAAAGATTAGATCCAATAAAAGGTTTTTTTTTACTTTTCATACAGCCCGTTGCTTAAACCAAAGTGTTTCCATCTGACACAGACAGTCTCCTGTTGTGTACTGTATGTGTGCAGGGGAACTCTGGACAATGACTCGACCTGATTCTTCAGACATTGTCCAGAGTTAAAATGAGAAGCTAATATCAGCAATACATTTGTACGTTCACACTGCAGGCACAAGTGGCCCAGATCTGATTGTTGTGTGACACTGATCTGACTTTTTCATGACAGTGTGAACAGTACTAATCACACTGAATCTGATCTGAAAATCTTTTTAATTTCTGATGAAAGCCACTTTCATATGTGGTCCAAATTCAATACAGTGTAAACAGTCATATCACAATACATGTGACTTTTACGTCACTCTAGACTGACATTGGTCATGCAGGTCACCTCAGGATTGTGATCTGTTCACACTGGAAACTGATATGGTCCACATTTGACAAATAATGTAAACAGACAAACGAAATGATTAATAAATCAAATATAAAAATAAATAAATAAAATTGAGCGCTAACGCTTGCAGTGTGAACATACATAACCCCAGTGACAGCAGAGGAAAGACTTTCTGGTTGCAGCTTGACTGACTTCACATGGATTAACCCTTGGGTCCCAAAGCCAATATTTTAGCTTCATCTGTAAGGAATTACTGAGGAAGATAAATCAGGACGAAGCAGCCTTGATCTCATCACACTGAGGTTTGCTGTTTGTCAGATGCAATGACGTGTATAGGTTTTTTAAAGAGTGACTCAGCACTAAAGCAAGGTCCCTGCACCACAAACATGTTGAATAGCTTCAAATGGTGAGCATTAATCCCTGCACTTAATTCCAGGCTCTTTCCAATGAAGTTCTGCATGGTCTTTTAGGAGCAGAAAACATTTGTTGCACTGCTCTCTGGCGGCCCAAACTCAGGCAAAAGCTTTATAATCACAGAATTGATAGGAGGTGGATGATGGCTATCACCCCCTCCCTACTCCCACTGTCACTCCCCACTCCAGCTTTCTCACATCTACCTCAACTGAGACGGGCTGAAAGTGTTTACACACTCTTTGAGAACCAAATTAAACCAGAGCCACCCTGAGGCTCACTGTTTGGGGTCAACATAAGAATGAATAAATCTGTCTACTAATCTGCTTGATGCCGCAGACAGGTATCAGTTGGTGTCTTCCCATGCAGGAGGAAAATTAGCTTTTGTTGTTGTAGGCTTTTTCATGCCAAAGATAAAAAAGAAGTTCAAAGGGACTTAAAGGGATAGTTCGGATTTACTGAAGTGGGGTTGTATTAGGTACAATGTATTAGCTGCAGTTTGGAGACACATAGAGGAGTACTGAAACGTGCACTATATCCTGACAGTAGTACATGAGACAGATAATCTGTGAAAAAAGTCAAAATCAGGTTCCTCTGGCTCCTCCTTCTCCTAAAAATGGCATTTGTAAGAATCCACTGCACATGATTGGTAGTTTTCCTTTTTTTTCTAAAGTTATATTTTTTTGCCTTTTATTTAACAGTGACAGCTGGAGATAGACAGGAAAGGGGGGTAGAGAGAGGGGATGACACGCAGCAAATGGCCACAGTTTGGATTTAAACTCTGGGCCGCTGCCGGACTCGATTCATGGTCCCCAGCTCTACCAAGTGAGCTAACCCGGCGCCCCTGACTGGTAGTTTTCATGCAGGCCCGGTGGATTCTTACAAAAGTTAACACAATAAGGACAAAAACATTTTTTTTAATACAATTTACCTCCTGTAGTTTTAATGAGCCAGATCATTTGGCCTCTTTTGACTCCCAAACAGCTTTTAGTACTCCTGGCTTTTACAATTATATATATATATATATGTGTGTGCATATCACTTAAATTATTCAATATAATTGTACTAAACCTTATTAAGTTCCATAATTTTACATTATGCTTGGTACAAATACCTTTAATAATGAAAAAACATCCAAACTTTTATATGTATATTGAATGTTTTATTGATACTAAACTGTTTTGTGTGTAGCACAATAAAAGCATAGAGTTTCAGGATCATATGTAACATATGCAATATAGTTGCCAATATAAGTTTCAAACCTGTCAAGTAAGTGCAATATTTTGAGTTTTCACATTTGCAGATTGTGAAGCTGATTGAAATAAAACCAATTACAGGAATGCTGAATGAGTGAATAACAGATGAAGGAAAATAGTGGTCTTGGCTTGCTCAAACCCACCTGAGGTTGTAGGTTTTTGGATGAAGAACCGTAGCTGTTATCAGACTTCTTGTTTAAATTCAAGAATTGGCAACAGTAAAATGAAAATTATGTAGATTTGCAACGGGTTCCTTCTATCTAAATTTCTAAGGCTACTCGATAACAATCAAAACGTTTCAGATGGCCAAAAGGTGGACGCCCCCGCCGTTGGCCACTGTAAGAAAATCCTGAGAGGAATTAAAATACCTGAGAGCTCAGGGTCTAGACCACTTCGGATTACAACAAATCTTTACAGTTCCACTAAGTCACAGGAAATACTGACATATGAGAAAAAAGCCTTTGCAGCTCAGTTCCCCCCAAAAATCCTTTCATGGCTTAAAAGTGAAGAGTATTCCTTTAACACAGAGCTCAGGGCTTTTTTTTCTCCATAACTCACATATTTGTGCCTCCTACACCTGTGCTAATGAGACGATAGCTTTCCAGCATAAGACGTCTCAACTGGAAACTCTACGATTAAAGACTACAGTACGAGTTGTGACTGCAATGAACAAATGAGAGATCAGGACACTGTATAAGCAGTGTTGGGTAGTAACTGATTACATGTAATTAGCCCAGATTACAATTATAGTTACATTGACAAGGATTACTTAATTGCATTTTTGATTACGTCTTTAAAATATGGCAATTTTAAAGTATTATTTTTTTTGGTCTTTATGCCTTTATTTTGATGGAGAGACAGCTGGGGATGGACGGGGGGGCAGGGAGGGGTGATGGCATGCAGCAGGGGGCCACAGGTCGGATTTGAACCTGGGCCGCTACATATATGGGTTGCCAGCTCTACTGACTGAGCTAACCAGGCACCCAAAATATGGCAATTTTAAAAACTTTTTTTTCATGATAACCAATTAAGATCTTGATAGGGGAATTTGGTAAATCTTATAAGGGATAGGAATCGGGAACCAGTTCCAAACTGTGAAGTCTGTTGGAATTACTATAACTGTGTCTGTTTGGGGTCAGAGAGACTAGAACAGTTCAGTTGATGTTGAAAACCTGTGTATGCCTACTTCTTTCCACTCATAAATTGATCTGGAATTAATAAGGGAATCCAGAAAGAATCAGATCGATAAGCAGAATCGATAATGGGGTTTGTATCAATTAGAGTTTATCAATTCCATCCCTAGGAAATCTCAACTTATTCCCATGTGCCATACGTTTGAGATCAGAGCTGCCGCTCAAATCCCCACACAGCCTCTGATTGGTCGACAGCCTGAACCCAAGGCATCATGGGATTACTAGCGGGGGACCAACTGTAAATGCAAAATTAATTAATTTGCATTTTGAGAATGTTTTGAAATGTTTAAAAAGGAAATAGAATATGAGTGTAAACTCTGATTTTTGTGTCCCTTTTTTGTTTACAGTGCAGTATTTTTAATGTTTGATTTTGAAATAATCCAAAAGCTTTCAGATAATGGATTACGTTACTAATTTAAGAAATTGCCATGTAATTTGTATTCAGTAACTGACATTTCCCAGGAATCTGACCCGACACGGATTATAGGCAACAGTAAAGTTGTGATGTATGTGATGACTAATACAGTAATACCAAGAACCATGGGGATGTCACTAGAAACTAGGCATTTAAGAAAATATTAAAAAATATCGAAATAGCCAAAAACACTATAGATTTTTGTGTTTAAACCCCAAACCGTTAGATAGCAGTGTTAGCTGAGCGACATGATGTTGGATGTTACTGCGATAAATCCAAATTCAGTTCAGTATCACAATATATTGAATCGCATCACCAGATTCTTGCCAATATATAGCCCTACTATGAACCCATGAACAGTCCATAACTCCGTTGTAACACTGCAGCCCTGTTGAATCTATGACTCACTACGAACTTACTCTGGTGTGTTGATCCAGATGATGTCGAGGTGGCAGTAATACACACACTCCTTGTCTTTGTAAGTGTAGCATGTGCATCTCTTCGCCCGCCTCCTGGCCCCTGCCGGGTCACAGGGCTTCGCTTCACCTTGAGAAGAAACAAGGGCGAGGTCGTCCACAGCGCCGGACGGACGTGTGCTCAGCATGACGGCTTCCGCCTCCCTCCTCTGGTTTACATCTTTGCCAGATGAGGAACCTGCAGGGGTCACAGCAATTTGAGAAGTGTTTCAGAACTGCCCTTTGTATCTTTGGTCTGAATTAGAATAAGTGAATGTAAACTTTCCAGGTCTACACCCCGTCTTTAGATGGCCACATGTGAGGATATTCATATGGAGGTGTTCAGAGATAGGATGAAGGTGTTGAGAGACAGGAGATCTAAAAGGTAGACCTTTACTACTTCTTTCCAATTATGACCAAATGTCTATTATTAATACTTCTTTGTATTAGTTTATTAGAGGTAATCCAACCTCAGTGACTACTATCAACACTGGCTGCAATTTCCCCTACAAGCAAAGTGCTGATCTGACTTGTTGTCCACTCAGGTGGCAATTAATTATCAACGACAAATTAAATTATGGATTGATTGTAATATTGTACAATTGTAAAAGTAATTTAAACAATAAAGATTCCAAACATTTGCAGGCTCCAAGTAAAATTTTGATTTGTAGGGCTTCGCTATTAATTGTAATATTATGGAAATCACAATATCCAAATTGCAGAAGCTTTTTTCAGTGAAAATGAAAATTGTGATGCAAAACTCCCCCCCCATGATTTTAACATGGTGCAGCCCTGATTTGCTTGTACTGTCAGTTACACATTTGTTAATTACCTGGGGGTTCTTGATCTGTTCTAAGATATCACATGGGCATTTGTCATTATCTTAACATTGTCTAGACTCGATGATAAGCAGTTATCTAAAGAAAAACAGCTACATAAATGCATCATTATATGTGTTGGACACAGGTGGACAGTGGTCTTGCCTTTTAATTGAACTCCTGTTTCCACAGTATCACTCTGAATGTGTAGAACTGCACTAACATATTGCACACAGTCAGACAGATTAATGTGATAGGCATCTCCAGCACTAATATTCCAGTTACCTGCACAGTATGTGTGCCATCATTATGACAGCTGGTATAGGTAAGCACTATTTTATTCTTTTTTTCAATGTAGTTTTATCTGTTAATAACATTAGGCTACTCACCGTTTGCCAGAGATGCTGTCACCACGATAAGAATCAGAACTCCCACATCAACCGATGTCACATTAGCCATCACACATGAAACATTAGAAATTCAAATTCAAAATGTAAAAGAAAAAGGGAAAAAAGTAAGAAAAACGCCTCTCAAAGTCCAGAGAGTGTGTTTTTCTCTCAGGTTATTCCGGATACATCATGTATGTGGGTGTACACAGGACTGCTGGCCGCCCGTAGAGCTGTGCTGCTGTGCGCCCCTCAGCCGGACCCTGCCGCTTTATGTCGGCAGCTCTCAGCTCAGAGACAAGACAGCGGCAATACCAAGCACACTTCCGGGTGCAGCTTTCAAAGTAAAAGCTTTCCGGTCAAAAGCCAATGAGAGGTTTGAGACATATGCGAGCAGCTCTTCCGGTTTTGTGCTGTTAAGAATGAATGCAATTTGGGGAGAAAGAGTTGTGGAATTGTAGCCTAGAAATTGCAGAATTTAGTAACGCCTACAAATTCAGTTGTTTAGAATATTACAATAATATGACTTCATTTTAAAGGTTCAGTGTGTAACATTGAGGAGAATCTATTGGCAGAAATTGAATATAGTATTCATAGGTATGTTTCATTAGTGTAGGTTTGTTTTCATTACATTTTTTTGTTATCTTAGAAAAAGGCTTATCTGATGCTGCGGGTCGCCTTCCATGGAGTCCCCCCTGTTGAACCACCATGTTTCTACAGTAACCGAGAAGGGACAAACCAAACACTGGCTCTAGATAGGGGTGTTCACGTTTTTTGTGCATTTTGTAGCCACCGTAGGTTCTCCTTTCGAGCTTGAAACAAGGGATTTGCAGTCTGCAGCTGCACCGCTAGATGCCATTAAATATTCGTCCTTTAATTCAAAAATAGCAAAATTACAATATAGGAAATGTATTAAAATATAGGCTATATTATATTAAATTAGTTACAACCACAGATGACTACCCCCACAGACACACCCTTAAGAATGGTATCACTGTGAAACAAACCCATCAAGTCACTACTTCCTGAAAAATCTGTAAGTTTGCGTCAGTAGGTCTGTACCTTATTGCCATAACCCAATGTTATGGCAATATGGCAGTTTTCTTCTACTAAAGCAAATTATTACCTGTCAAAACAGCTGATGAACAGTAAAAAAAAATAATTTGAAAATGAATAACTGATTATCAAATTGTTTTATGTGACTAATCACATCTTTACACTTTTGAGATCATTAGGCATTATTTGGATGCATACTGCTTAATTAATTAATAAACTATATAAAAATTATTTTAAAATCCCTAAGCTATACAGAATTATAATGCTCACGTTTTTACAATGATATAAAGTACTCCAGTGTTTTTGGAAGATAAATTTGGCTTAACTTATTTCTTTTATTAAGATGTGTTGTCAGGTTTTACAATCTAATCAACATTTTTGATAGACTAGTGAAGAGTGCATTACAATAATACAATCTGCTAGTTTATAAGGAATAAATCAGTTTCTCTCGAATGACAAACAGGCCAGCATCATAATTATTTCGTTCATTTAGAGTGAGCAGATCAGAGGTCTGTCTGGATCTAACAGATTTTATTTAAAGGTCCAGTGTGTAACATTGAGGAGGATCTATTGTCAGAAATGGAATATAATATTCATAGGTATGTTTCATTAGTTTATAATCATCATCATCATCATCATCATCATCGAAAGTTGTGATGCCGTGATTGTGAAACAGCTTAGTCAGTGATTAGCACCCTATATATTTATCTCGTTTTGTCCACTGGAAGGGCACCATAGAGGTGCTTTTTAAAGCATTGTATTTATGAATATCAACAAAGCAACAGGATAAGGCCATAAAAGTGGGTTCATCTAGTATTGGGCCCTTTCTGACCCATTACATGATTTTTGTGGCAGGCTTTGTGAAGACACTTGTCCACCTGCAAACCTCTACAATTACACATTTGCTAGCTGTTTCAACTCTTTTTGCTAAGCTAAGCTAATCGGATTTTGAATACAGCTCTTTACTTAGTGCACAGATAAGAAAGTAGTGTCAATTTATTCATGTAGCTCTCGGCAAGAAAGTTGATTAGCCTATTTTCCAAAATGTTGAATTTAAGTGAACAGAAATTAGATTGTATTTCAATTGTTAATTGACAGGAAGCCCTTCAAATGATACTGTTACTTGGCTGAAAAAGAAACTGACCTGCTTGAATCAGAATTGATAGGTGTTCACACAGATACAGAATTGTAATTTATTGTAATTGTAATGTTGTTATATTCTAAGTTATATTCGAGGGGAACTAAGCTTATTTTTTAAATTTTCACACGTCAAACTCCTGCACTGCTTCAAGTGTTTTTGCCATGGTCCACAAAACAATCTCTAATATCACCCATTTTGTGAAAGGCTACTTTCAGTGCATGTGTTTGTTTTTAGCCTGAGATCACTGAGGAAAAACTCAGCTGCTTAATGTTCCACGCCTGGGATGAAATGCTGCCGTGGACATTGATGGCCAAAACAACTGTGAGTAATGGAAACCAGAAGTGTAATGTTTGTGAATTTTCAGACTTGGAGCCTGAAAATCAATTTAAAGGACCAGTGTGTAGGATTTAGTGGCATCTAGTGGTAAAGTTACAGATTGCAAATAACTTAACACATGATTATGTCTGTATTTGGCAACCTGGGAATGAGAACAGCTCATTCTAAGGTAACAAACAATTACTATATTCAGGTGAATATACACTAACAAAAAAACTTACCTATATCGATAAGGCAGTTCCGCCTTAACAATCACTGCTTCTCCCACGCTGTTGGACGGACAAAGAACGTCCCGGAGGGGCTGCGAGCCGAGCTGCTGCTAACATTAACTCAGCTTGTTTCTCTGATAACTTAAGATCCAGACGTCCGATGACTAAAATCTTTCATCCGGTCCAAATCTAGAGTTTAAAAGCACCAACATCTAAACAGTGGATGGTAACAATGTGCCTTCAGGGTGCCTGGTTAGCTCAGTCGGTAGAGCTGGTGACTCATATACGGAGTTCCTGCAGCAGCCTGGCTTTGAATCCGACTTGCGGCCCTTTGCTGTGTGTCATCCCCTCTCTCTCTGCCCCCCTTTCCTGTCTATCTTTTTTTTTTTTTAAACTTTATTTAACCAGAAGAAGTATCATTGAGATTAAAAATCTCTTTTACAAGAGAGTCCTGGCCAAGACAGGCAGCAGCACAGTTCCACAATTACAGACAATCATTTAAAAACAACAAAGAAACATATAAATAGAGTCACAGTCAGAACATCATCAAACAATGCATGTACAGACAGAAGAGCCAGCTTCAACATCATTAAAGGAGCATTTCACCCATGGAAACATTAATATTTATTGAAAGTGGGTTATATATGTAGTCGAAATGTAATGTTTGTAAATGTTTGAATTTGGTGCCTATTTGACCGAGAAAAGACAGAAAGTGACTTTAGGGCGCATTTGTATAAAAGACAACAACTCCCACAATGCACAGCTCTGCAAGCCGCTCCCACTAACACTATCAAAGACTACAACAACGTGAATGTAAACCATTTATTTACAGAAATATATCAACAACAACAAAAATAAATATGTTAACAATGACAGTTAGAGTTCCTCCTGAGCGTCCTCAACTCCTTGGTGCCGCAGTACTGGCCATCTGGAGCTGGATATTTCTGTGATACATGGTCTTTGTGTTTAGCGTGCCACAGTAGTTAGCAATGCAACTGCAAGCTGTTTGTGCAGTAAAGAAGTTAATGTTAGTTCAGTTGGCTGACGTTACGTATTAACCGGGAATAACTTTTGACTGCTATTGCCAATACTGTTGTTGCTGTGCACCTGTCTGTCTGTCTGTCTCTCGCTCTCTCTCTCTCTCTGCCTCTCTCTCTCTCTCTCTCTCTCTGTCTCTCTCTCTTACCCCAACTGGTCGAGACAGACGACCACCCACCTAGAGCCAGAGGATCTGTCTTAGGTTTCTGCCTTTTAACAGGCAGTTTTTCCTTGCCCTTGTCGCCAAGTGCTTGCTCATGGTGGTACTGTTGGGTCTCTGTAATTAATGTTAAAGAGTTCGGTCTAGACCTGCTCTATTTGAAAAGTGTCCTGAGATAACTTCTGTTATGAATTGGCGCTATACAAATAAAATTGAATTGAATTGAATTGAACTTTGTGATAATACTTGTGTACATACATGCCACGTTGTTATAAGACAGAAAATAGAAACACTCACTTTACAGTCAGACGTCCGTGGGCGCACAGCGAGAGCACAGGCACCAGCAGTCCGCCCCAGCTCGAGCCAGTCCGGGCTCCTCGTCCGCGACAGGCGGTCCTCTGCCTCGGCTGCAGAAGCCTCAGCCGCCTCCTGATCAGCCTCAGCTGCTCTTCGCTATATTGCGGCTCATAAAGGTAGCCACGAACATCTGATTCAACCATCATACTTTCGAAATTTCTTCCATATTACATTGATTAACATAGTCGTAACGTCTGGCTCCACAGCGCCTCCGCTTAGCTTCCAAACAAGATGGCGGTTATATTTTTTAGTTTCTGCAGGTGAAGTCCCACCCACTGATCTGTAATAGGTCTGTAGCGTGAGGAAAAAAAAATGAGGAAGTAGTGTTTGTAGTCTCACCCCTTCTACAGAGATATGAGACTTCCTGTTTCCAATGACGCAAAATGACGATTTTTACATCACTGGAAGCAGGAAGTGCAACACTAAAATCCTTATTTCTCCCCTCTCAGGGGAAGTGAGGGAATGATGCACGGACATTCAAAAATATGACTGGGGTTCTCATGATACAAAGCTTAATGCAAATGGGTGAAGTGTCCCTTTAAGAAAGGATTTAAACCTGTTTATAGAAACCAGCTCCTTAAGTTTCAGCACATTTTGCAGCTGGTTCCATGAAAAAGGAGCAGCATAACTAAAAGCCCTTTTCCCCAGTTCAGTATGGACTCTAGGCACAGTCAGTAAAAACAAGTCCTCAGAGGGGAGCTGATACTTCTGCAGGTATGTAGGAAGAACACCTAGGATAGTTTTATAAATTAGGATATGCCAATGATGGAGTCTGCGGGTGGACAGGGCAAACCATCCAACTCGAGCATACAAAGAGCAGTGGTGCGTGAGGGTTTTAAAATTAGTGATAAATCTCAGTGCTCCGTGATAGACCCTGTCCAAAGACTGTAGGCATTTTGAAGATGCATTCATATATAAAACATCACCATAGTCCAACACAGACAAAAAGGTAGCAGCAACAAGTCTTTTTTTGGCTTCAAAAGTAAAAACCTAATTTTATCTTCTGTTTTTTCAAAAGCTGCTGGATATGAGGTTTAAAAGAGAGAGTATCATCAATTATAATTCCCAGATATTTATACTGAGACACAGATTCAATGATAGAGCCCGGCAAAGTCTCAGTCTTCAGCTGTCTCTATCAATAAAGGCCAAACAATATATATGATATAAAAAGTCAATGTATGACAGCTTCTTACAGACA